AGAGAGAGAGAGAGAGCATACAAAAATAATTTTAAAATTGTGAAAATTATTTAAAATTTTAGTTTAATATATTTATTTCGTTATTAAATAGGTTAGGCGATTAACGATTGCACAATAAATTTAGTTATTTATTTCAGAGATATGTCAACAATTTTAAGGAAAATTTTAGCCGCAATATCAAGTTGGTATATAAATCAAATTTTTTAAAAATACTTCAAATTTTTAGATAGTTTATCAAAATTTTTAACATTTATTTAATAACAAATTAAAATATAATTCCTCTCAAATAAATTTAATTTGTAAATACAATCATTAAGGGAGCCTAGAATGGACACCTGGGTAATATATATGATGCTAACTTATGAGAGTTTATATTTTTTATTATAACTATAATTTTAACATTAACATGTTGAAAAAGTTGATAACTATAGTTTTGCTAATCCAAGTAACCCTTTGAGCATCTGAATGGCTGCCTCGGGCTTATCGGTGGGCACCATATGTCCGGCCCCGCGAACCACAACAAAACTTAACCCCTTTTCATAATTCTGTATAAATCCGCCGATCACTCCATCGCTGGTGCCGTTGACTGTCCACTCCCTGTCCCATACATACAATAAAAGTACAATTATTATAATTAATATAAATAGCATATACGTAGTTATAGTTGAGGCCAATTTGCTTGAATGCCGGCTTATAGTATGTGTCAAACACCCGATGCATTAGTACGTCTTCCGGACACTTGCTGTATATGTTGTATAAATTGGCGATCTGGACGGTGTCCAATTGTACCAAGTCGCATTTGCTATAATTGTGTATTTTAATTAATTTCACTACAATAATATTTATGATGGATTGATTAATTAAATTTAATATTGTTATGTTTATTTTATTAAATGAACTGTAAAATTATCAGGAAACCTCAACTAATTTACCTATAATGAATATTTCATAAATAAATTGGTTCCACACCGAGACGTATTATTAGTAAAATAATTATTTTAAAGACTTTTTTACATGCAAGTTTGTAATATGTGAGTGGATATGGATGTACAGTTATTTGAATTTTATCTTTTAAGTACAGTTTTTTAAATACTTTTTTCTTGCTAGTGTCCATACACAAGTTAGCATTATAAATTATTTTCAACAAACATTGATATAAGCATATTATTATAATTGTGGATTAATTAGAGTACCATATGTTAAGAAATTGATAAGATTATACTAATGAAATAATATGTTATAATTATGTTATGTTAAGTCCCAAAAATATATCAAGGATTAATTTCATTGCAAATTGTTTGTAGAAAAATTTATATATCATTAGTCATACAATATTTAACTATTTATTAATACTATTTAACTATTAAATCAAAGTTATTAGAGAGAGAGAGAGAGAGAGAGAGAGAGAGAGAGAGAGAGAGATGATAATATAAAAATATTTTTAAATTATAAAAATTATTTGAAATTATTATTAAATAAATATATTTTTGTATTTTAAAATTATATCTTGAAAATTGTTTTTTACTGAAAGTTATTTATATATATTGTGAATAGTCGTTATTATTAAATTAGCTAAGATTATTTGTGCTTAATTATAATTAACGTCAATAAAATTTTGGATAAATTACGTTCTATTGCCCTGTAACCATTGACAACTTCTAATTTTTATCTTTATATAATTTTATAAATAATTATGCATATTGTACAGTTTATATTGCTTATTAAATGATTTTTATTTTAAGCAAATTACCTATTACCTAATTGGGTTTACTTATCCGACCACAACATATTAAACCGATATCATTGCCAAACAATGTAATTTTTATATAATTTTCAAATTGATATATCAAGGTATTCAAAAGAATAGTGGTCAAAACTATCAATAATATTTAATCAGTATATTAAAATTAAAATTTATAAATTTGTTTTTTCATGAAATAGTAGCTCTTTTTTAAAGCCATGATAAAATATGTTATACATTAACAGTGTATATAATTAAATAATAAATATATGCTTACAGTTTGTATTTATAATCAATGCCTAATTATATATATGAATTTTTTATAATATCCTTAAATAGTTTATCAACATTTTTATTAATTATTATATAAGAAATTTTTATTCATGTAAAATGAATTTCATTTATAAATACTAACATTAAATAGAGCCCAGAATGTGGTTACCTGGATGACTTATACTATTGTTACTTATGTAACTTATACGAAACCGATAATTCATAGCAAACATATAACACAATACAATATCAAATATTAAACTATTTAAAGACAATTATTATTGTAACTATAATTTTATTTTAATTTGTTAAAAAGATTTTGACTATTATAGTTTTGCTAATCCAAGCAACCCTTTGAGTATCTGAATGGCGGCCTCGGGCTTATCGGTGGGCACCATATGTCCGGCGCCGCGAACCACAACAAAACTCAACCCCTTTTCATAATTCTGTACAAAACCGCCGATCACTCCATCGCTGCTGCCGTCAACTGTCCACTCCCTGTCCCACACATACAATAAAAGTACAATTATAATCATTTCTATTAATACAGCATATATAGTAATAACTAGAGCCGTTGCATACCTGTAATGACCAGCGGTTTTAAAGCCCAGACTATCGACAAACCTCTGATCGCCAATGAAATTACACACCGAATCAAAGTCGCCGTTATATACAATAAGTTTTGGTATTTTATACGTATTTATCAATTGTTGAACAGTGTCTGCCTGTGGGGTCATATAGTGTATTGGGTCGTAGGGCCCGCCAATAGTAGACCACCTTTTACTGCCCTGCCGTACGTGTAGTGCCCGCCGGACGGTATCGGTGTTCATATACGCGGTTACACCGGTTCTGACACATTTTGGTGGTGTGTTTACCCCGTGGTTTGGCTTAATGTTATAATTAAAGCCAATTCGCTTGAGTGTTTGTTATGTTTTAGTGTTATTCAATTAAACTGTAAATAAATCATTAAAAACTCATAAAATTTATCTAGAATGAGTATTTTATAAAATAAATTGGAACGCACAATATGTCGACTAATTAGTAAAATGACAATTTTATTAAAAATTTATTTTAGGAAAATGTTCATTATTATAGTTTTGCTAATCCCAGCAACCCTTTAAGCATCTGAATGGCGGCCTCGGGCTTATCGGTGGGCACCATATGTCCGGCGCCGCGAACCACAACAAAACTCAACCCCTTTTCATAATTTTGTATAAAACCGCCGATCACTCCATCGCTGGTGCCGTTGACTGTCCACACATACAATAAAAGTACAATTATAATCATTTATATTAATAACATATACTGTTATAACTAAAGTAATGACATATTTGTAATGACCTGCGGTTTTAAAACTTAGACTATTGACAAACCTCCAATGAACTTACATGATATTACATACTATTAATTAATTTAATTAAATTTTTCATCGAATGAGAGAGATATAGTGAGATATTTAATAATAACTGTAAAATAATAATAATAATTTTTAAGATACAACAATTAATTAATCTAAATAGTATTATTGGGCAGTCATAGAAAGACCGATTGATTTATAATAATATTATATATTATATTTATTAATTGGTTTTACATTTAATTTTTAATTTTATTTTACAAATTAAACCTATACTAAGCAAACACTAATAATCAGTAAATGGCATCTTACAAAAAAAGCTTTCAAAAAAAGTTTTAAACTAGACATTATTTTTGCTGTATTTTCTAACATTAATCACAAATGCCATTACATTTATTTACAAAACATTACCAATAATGCAAACCACCACTCTCTTTATTTGATAACAATATATTTGAATGCCTTATGATAAGAATAAACATATTATAAAGTATGTTGCCATTTAATGCGGGCAAATGCACAGATATGCACGCATTGACAGACTATGCTAATAATTCAAATTTATATTAATTAAATTCAATAATATACTAGAACTCATTTTATTGTTAAGGATAAAAGTATTTAATTTTATATCAAAAACTTTTGTTTGAATTTTTAAATAATATTTAGATTGTGTTTATTTTATTAAATTAACTGTAAATAAGTAATTCAAACTCAAATAATTTACCTATAATGAGTATTTTTAAAATAAAGTGGATGGTAGGATTGAGGATTAATACTAACATTAAGCATAGCCAGAATGATCACCTGGATATTTATTTTATTAAACTGTATATATATCATTAAAACTTAAATAATATACCTATCAGGGGACGTAGACATTAGCTCGATAGACATGAGCTCGAAAGACACTAGCTCGAAGACACGAGCTCGAAAGACATGAGCTCGAAAGTGATTAAATTGATTTTACAGAATGTTTAATATGAGATATCATTATTACAATAATTTTTATATAATATTTTTAGTTTCACATTTTTAGTTATATATTTTTAGTTTTTAATACAATACAAAAACAGTTTTATGTTGTAATTAAATATCNTACAGAATGTTTAATATGAGATATCATTATTACAATAATTTTTATATAATATTTTTAGTTTCACATTTTTAGTTATATATTTTTAGTTTTTAATACAATACAAAAACAGTTTTATGTTGTAATTAAATATCAAACCGATGAGCAATTGCATTAAAGTAATTATATAAAGTGAAATTATTGCGTGAATTAGTAATATTTTGTAATTTTTGCTCATTATCTAATTCTGTAATTCTGTATTTGATGTATTTATAGCTATATTAAATTTATTAATTAATATAATAATTATATATCATATTAAACATGCTGTAAAATCAATTTAATCATTTTCGAGCTCATGTCTTTTGAGCTCGTGTCTTCGAGCTAGTGTCTTTCGAGCTAGTGTCTTTCGAGCTTATGACTTTCGAGCTAGTGTCTTTCGAGCTTATGACTTTCGAGCTAGTGTCTTTCGAGCTAGTGTCTTTCGAGCTCATGATTTTCGAGCTAGTGTCTTTCGAGCTAATGTCTTTCGAGCTAATGTCATACTCCCACCTATCAGAAGCTTTTTATAAATAATTGGGATCTTTAGACCTCGTGAGTTATTAATAAAATGACTATTTTTAAAATGAATTTTTGGGGCATGCAAGTTTGTTATGCGAGTGTAGATATATTAGATTCTAGATATATTAGAGTTGCATTGTTTTATGTGATTTATGACATATGCCTTATAAAAAATATTTTTAACTAGTTCATATAATTATATTTTATTAAGCGGTGAAATCGCATTCGTGCTGAACGGCACCGGCCATACATTGGCAGCAATTCTCAATCTTTTCTCATAGGCTTCAGTAGTAATTATATTTATTATTTATATAATTATAATTAATCATATTATGTTATTTAATTAATTGATAGTATTGTAAATTTTATGTAGATTATTCTAAATAATTTAAATACATTTATTAACATAAATATTAATGGGAAAGAAGAAGAAACTCGATAAATTGACATTTTATTTTTATATGTATTTAATTTTATTAAAAACGTGTGCAATAATTGGATTTTATTGTTAGAAATTTTTAAACATAACTGTGAGTGAGTGAGTGAGTGAGAAAGAAAGAGAGAGAGAGAGAGAGAGAGAGAGAAGTAAATGAAAATTATTTAATAATAACTGTAACATAATCATAATTATATTTAAAATATAACAATTGATAAAACCAAACACAATATTATTGGTTCGTGTTATTTATAATATATTTAATAATTGGTTTTACACTTAATTTATTTCATAGTTTTTGAATTTTAAACATATTAAACCAATACTAAGGCAAATAATAATAATTAATAATTTTATAATAATTTATATTAATTACATTCAATGATGTGCATTTAATAATAAACTATAATTAATATTAAAATTTTATTTATCTACTTTTAACATCAATCATGGAAAGCAAAAATGTTTTGATCAACATTAAATCTTCATTTTATTGATATTTGGCGCTGTAAAGTATAATAAGATTATAATTAATTGTAAGCACCCTTGATCAAATAATGTACTAATTGAAACAAAGGTGCTTACAATTAAGTATTCGTCAATAGGCACTATGGTTATTCTTAGTTTGATATACACTTTTATATGATTACACATAAAAAGTTAAAAATATAATATGATTGATGAAATATAACGACCACCATGAACAGTTTAGATTTACCGAGTGAGGCATTGTAAATCCACCAATTGAGTTGTAATTTTTAGTTGATTTGTACCACGATGGAAATAAAATACAAAGTATATTAGCATTTATATAATGGTAAATTATCCATCATTAACTATCTTAAACATTAGTGATTATGAGATCCAATACACGAATGGCACCGGAAGTGGAATTTACGAACACCTGTTATATTGTCTAAAATATAATGGATGTTCGTAAATACCACTTCCGGTGCCATTTGTATATTGGATCTCATAATTACTGATGTTTAACATAGTTAATGATAGGTAATTTAAAATTATAGAAATAACTAATACATTTTATTTCAATTGGATGTTTAGTCACAGTTGGTTATATGATTTAAAACAATTTAATTAAAATCATCAATGAATTTAAACTTGCTGTGATTTTACAATACACATAATCGCTAAATAACTTGTGATTTGAGTTATTAATATGTAAAAACTAATTATTATATATGAGTTTAAAAATTGTTTAAATATTTTTGCAATTATTTATTCTGTGATCAATATTTTGCATTTTATTATCATGCAGTAATAAAAGCATTAAGAATTGTTTAGTCATGTTGAATTGTTTTAAAACTATTTGCTATATAAATAAATATTATATTTATTTTATGTTGGCTGTTTTAATTGGTGTATTTGTAATTAAATAAAATCCGTTTTTATATTTATTCTAAAAATATTTTTTATATGAAACATTTATTACATGAATTGTTATACACCTTAATAAAAATTATAATAAATGCCATATATTATTTAATATTAAGTCATATACATGTAGTTATATAAATACATATCAATGTATAATTTATTACAATAACATTCGCATACATTTTATTATAAAATCCATTAAATAAATTAATTTCACTTGATGCAAAACATGGATTTTTTTGCACAATCCAAAAATATTTTTTTTTGATTTAATTAATTGTTATAACATAAATATAATTATAATTACTATACAGTTATTATTTAATTCTCTCTCTCTCTCTCTCTCTCTCTCTC